TCTTTGCATGCAGCCAATGTGTAGCACACAGTAGGCATTTAATACTTGTTATTTTTCAGCCTTCTCTTCCTTCAGAGATGAATGGGTGTTTTAGAACCTGAGTGGGAGTTACTTTGCATCTTCTAAATCAACCCTCTCAATTTAGAAATAAGGATCTAAAACTTAGTCATGTCCCCAGGTCACAAGAGAACACCCCCCACTTTCTTTGTCTCTTCCTTTCTTACAACGCACAGCACTGGGAAAGGCTGGTCATCCGTGATGACTTGCTGTTTTAATTTAGGGATGTTAAGAAATGGAACTTACAGCATCAATACTGGGCTCTACCAGGCACTGAGAGCCTACTGACCTGAAAGTACAGGGTGCCTACCTACCTGCCTTTTTAAAACAGCAACTTAGGCAAAAATTGAGTTGCATGGACATTCTAAAGTGTGTATGTCAACCATTAGCAAATAAAATTCTGAAATGTTCTCCCAACCGCCTCTTTTCCTAGAGCATAGATACGGTGATTTCACCCATTCGACAACAACTATTTATTGAGTGCTTATTATGTGCCAGGGCCATGTAACAGTGAGCCAACCAGTTTAAAATCCCTCTTCTCACAGACCTTCCGAAGGGGGAAGACCGAGCTTTCTTTATTCTTTATAGAATTAAAAAGCTCTTTGTCAATTAGAAGATGGAAGTTGCGAGGGGAAATAATAAAGCTGAGAAGGGGACAGGGAGCCCCGAGGGGCGGCAGTTTTTAAAAAGGTGCTTCAAGGAGGTATAACTGAGAAGGTGACATCTGAGGAAAGACTGGAAGGAGGCACAGAAATGAGCCAGGCCACAGCTGGAGGCCGAGCAAAGGCGCGAGGTGGGACGTGTTCAAGGAAGTTCTGGCACGTTCCAGGAAGAGCAAAGAGCCTAGTGCGGTTGGGGTCAAGTAAAAGAGGAGAGGAGGGTGGAGGAGTCACGGGGGCAAATCATTCACAGCCCCAGCCGACTTCCTAAACACTGTTGGTTAGCTTTACAACAAAATCAAGAAAATGACTGGCTTATGGAAACTGTAATTGTCAGCAAATCTAAGCTGGAAAAAAAAATTCTTTCCTAGAGGTTAACAGCATCAGTCTAAGAAAAGAAAGCAGTGCGATTGGGAGTTACAGTGTGGAAATGGAAAGACTTCACTCACCAAGGACTTAAATACCACTTACCCAAAGGACAGGGTGAACCAAACAATGGTGAGCTTTATGGTGTTGTCCCGGACTGGGTAGGTGAAACATCGCATGAAAGTCAACCAAATCTGTGGAATAGTAGAGAGTCAGTTTTCTTCTGCAGTAACCTAGTCAATCCCATTCTTCAATCCCCTCCAACAAATGATTACAAATGTTGAGTTTTCTTTGGGCTGGATTATTTTAAGTGTAAAATGTAAAAGCTAAAGGCTGTAGGAACCCAAATGCTGGAATTTTCATTTGTTAGTCTCCCGGAGGCCAATGGACAAAGTAACTCAGGATTTCAGCACAGCCTGTCACTGCCGAGACTCCCTGTCTAACACCTTCCCTTCTAAGAGGGAGTATCTTGGCTACCCCACTGATCGCAAGGGGATCCTATTACCCAGTCCCACTCCAGGAGTTAGGCGTCCCGGGCAGAAAGGGGAAGAACCCCGTTCATGGGACTGGTTCAGTCATCCCTGATTCTGACTAACCTCGAGCAACAAGCTGGCCCCCAAGTCAAGGCGGGCTTGTTACTTACTCCATACAGTTCTGTGCGGATCCGAACAAAACACCTCCTGTACCATGTTCCCGTGTCACTCTCAATTTCAATCAGCTCATCTATTTGTCTTGGGGTTTTGATTCTGTTTACCTGTGAAGAGCAACAGAGGGCAAAGTGCTGAGCTGTCTTCTCTAAAGTTGCAAAGTTTAAGCCTACAATTTGTTTTTAAAGGAGCCAAAGCTGACTCCAGCAGAAAGGAAGCAGGCATTTGATACAGAAGCAGGTATTCGAATATATATGAGACCAATGGTGTTAGTATACAGACTCAAACGGCACCTAAAAGAACTGAATAAAGGATGAATGGGAGGGAATACCATAGAGAAATGGGGGAGGAACAAGTAGTAATGGAATAATAGGAAGCCAAAATGCCCTTCTCTGAATTATTACTAAGAAGGCATTCATTAGCAGATAAAACATCTAGATAGATTCGATTTTGGATTAAGAATTACTTTGCTTGACTTAGCAGGCACAAGGTCCTGTGTTCAATCCCGGTACCTCCAGTAAAATAAATACATAAAATAAACCTAATTCCCACCCCCACAAAAAATACAAAAACAAACAAAAAAAGAATTACTTTGCTTGAAGTAAAGTGACTGTACACACTTTTCTTTGGAATCTGTCTATTTGATGAATTTGGCTGCTAAATTTGGAATCTACAAATTTGCCTTAAAGCTTTCCAATCAAACTTTTATTCCTAGAGCATCCCTGTGACCTTTTCTTCTTCCTCCCGCACCGAATCCACAATGACTGGTCATCAAACACCCACAGGTGACCATGAGGCAAGGTCCAGCGAATGAGCTTTGACTGAAAGCATCAACACTGACTCTTTAGTGACAGACGAAGAAATGATTGAGGTTCAGCCTGAGAAGCTGTATACATGTCTTAGTCTCCCTTTGCTAAGGACAAGAACCAAGAGTCAGGAGAAGCAATGCTTTCAACACAGAGAATGAAGCCTGAAAAGAGACAGGAAAAAAAGGAAGAATGGTTCCTTCGTGGACCTTCCTCATCTGAACCTGTTAGTCAACATCCACCTGCTTTTGATACACCTGAGAGCAGACACAGAAATGTGTACACATGTTACCCCCACCAGGGATAATTTCTGAACAGATCTTTTGGAGAGTCTGCCAACATCTGAAGCAGGACTTCTATTGTAAGAATCCAAGAGTGGCTTCTGACAGATGCAATTTGGGGACCCTTGGTATTTTCAAATTATACCAGGTGGGCAATAGCCTCTTCCTGACTATGTAAACAAAGATGTCTGTATTTAATGAAAATAATGTCTGAGTTAAATATGGGATTCCAAATAGAGTCAGTTCCAAATCAACCATGTAGGCATTATTTTGTGACACTACAAAAGTTTGTTTTTTTTTAACCAAAGGGTATTTTTTTAATTGAATAAAAGATTCTTTAAATTCTATAGTGCTCAACAATTTTCAAAAGTTTCACACAGATGATTTTATATAATCCCATAATAACTCAGTTTTTTTCTCCTACCCGTATATTGCCCCTCCCCACTGGCAACCACCAGTTTGTTCTCTACGAGTCCACTTCTTTTTTGTTTTATTCATTAGTTTGTTGTATTTTTTTTTTAGATTCCACATGTAAGTATTTTTGTCTTTCTCTGACTTATTTCACTTAGCATAATATCCTCCAAGTCCATCCATGTTGCTGCAAATGGCAAAATTTCATTCTTTTTTATGTCTGAGTAGTATTCCCTTGTGTATATATGTATACGTGTATATATATCTCTGTATATCACATACATTCTTTATCCATTCATCTGTTGATGGACACTTAGACTGCTTCCACACCTTGAAAATTATAACAAATGCTGCTATGAACATTGGAGTGCACCTATCTTTTTGAATTAGTGTTTTTGTTTTTTTCAGCTATATACCCAGGAGTGGAATTGCTGGATCATATGATAGTCCTAAAAATAGTTTTTTGAGAACCACCATACTGTTTTCCATGGTGCATGCACTAATTTACATTCCCACCAGTGCTGTACGTGGGCTTCCTTTCCTCCACACACTTGCCAGCATTTGTTCTTTGTGTCCTTTTTGGTAATAGTCATTCTGACTCAACATACTGCTTTTGGGAAGTTTTCTCTTCTCCACTCATCAGGGTTTGTGCAGTCTTACATTGGCACCCATGGGGAGCCAGGCCTGGCACTAGACCCTAGAGACACAAACACAGAACATCACACCCTCCAAGCAATGACCTCCAAACAAATAGAAAGTACTCTAATAGAATCCCTATCCGATGGGAGAGACGTATTATACAGGAACACCCAAGCTGACCTGAGAGTGAGGCTTTGTGGACTGTGGAATTTGAGCTGGAGCTTATGGAGAAGTGCGTCAGCTGCCATGTGTGTAAACTATTTGAAGGGCATTCCAAGCGGGAAGAGTACCATGTGCAAACGTCCTGAGGTGTGAGAGAAAAGAGGGTGCTGGAATCTACAAAGAGCTTGGGGTTCCTGAAGAACAGTCCAAAGGCAGGGAGCAGTGAGTAATGAGGGCTGGACCAAATCAGTGGCAATAGGGTAGAAATTAAGGGACAATGATGAGAGATATTTAGGATGAAGGATAATAAGACACAGTAATTTCTTAGATATGATGGAGATAAAGGAAAGAAAGAGAATAGTTTTCAGGGTTCTGGTTTGGATGGTACTGGTAGTACTTGCTGTTGAATTCTGGACAAAGAAGAAGTTTGGAAACTCTTAAGATGAGAAATTCAGATTTAGAAATTCAGAATTTGAAGGGCCTATTCAGTACCTAGGAGTATGCCCACAAAGCCCTCCAACATGCATGTCTGGTGCACAGCAAATCTGCCCAGTAGGAGCTAGAGATCCAGGAGGTAGCTGAGATCAGCTAGGGCGAACGTGCAGGCTTAAAAGAGAGGTTAGATGCAAATAAAGCCCTGAAAAACAATATTTAAAGTAGGCACACAAAAAGAAGAGCTTAAAAAGGAGACCTTGGAGGAATGCATGTAAATTCACTGTATTGTAGATACAACAAGGAAAAAGACATATGTCATGGTGGAATCACGTAATGACTTCGAAAGTCACATATAAATGACTTGAGATTACCCTTCCTTTTAGAGTGTTCCCACCTTATTCCCGGCTAACCTTTGTATAGTCATATTAACATGGTTGGCCATGAGTGAACTTGGTAACTCAGAACTTCTGGAAGGAAAAAGCAGGTTAGCAGGGCAATGAGGCCCTACAGAGATGCCTTCTCAGAAGTCTTGGGTAAAGGGTTTATACTCATCTGCCTGAGAAGGAGTAAGAGACACTGAGTATCTAAATGATGTCTCAAGACTTCCCTTGCCTTATGGTCCTTTAATTTTAAAATAATTCCTCCTCCACTGGGCATCTACCGAAAAGAAGAGCCTGCTCAAAGGCTTCCAGAACCTCAGTGGAGGACATGTGTTACTCATCCTCATTTCTCCATTACACAGCATAAAAAATTTTGCTAATTAAGAATCCGTGATAATTTGGATAGAGGCCGGACTGAAGTCTGTCTTTACATGATGAAAAATTCATTTCCTATTAAAAAATGAAATGAATAAATAAGATGTCAGCAGACTGTTTCAACAGGAACCATTTCACATATTTTATGAACTATGATTGATATTATTTAGAAGACACTGAAGATCTTACATATATCCCCATTAAACTTATTTTAGACAAGAACTTTTTTGTTTAACTGTACCATGTCAAAGGATTTAAAAATCCAGTGTTCTTTCCAAAACATTCCATGCATCCAATTTTCATTCATTTAGACTAGCTTTACATTGAGAATAAATTTTGCGTCTAGAAGATGGGAGAACATTCCATGCGGAGGGAACAGCACACACAACAGCAGAGCAGGAGGCTTAGGTAAAACGGCAGCAGGAGGCACCGAGGATGCGTGTGGCTGGTGTAGCCAGGGCAGAGTTTGCAGTCAGGCGTTTTCAGAAGAAGTTGCTGGGCCCCTGGCCTAGACGATCACTGAGAAGTCAGACTCACCGTGAAGACCTTCTCAGGCTGACCCCGTGCTCTCATGTTTGTGTCATGAATTAACTTCAGAATCATCCAGGCTTCATCATGTTTTCCAACCTAAGAAATATGAGTAGACACGAAGTACCAGGACGTGAAACGCACATACTCACTGATTTCCCATAACCACGTGGTACTGTCAGATCAAGGCGGGTGTCAGAGCGCAAATGCATTTAGGTTCAGCCCACTGGAACATACAGACTACCTGGACATCCCTGAGGGCACCAGCAGGTCAAGGGATGTGCCTCTAACTAGAAATAGCGCCCGTGGATAGTGACTTTCATTTATAAAACAATAAGCCACGTTCTCCTCTTTGAGGGAAATGACTTGATTGAGGAGGAACTTTGGTGCTTTCTGGCCACGAGGCAGCTTTTTCACATGTTGGTTGTTGAAATAGTGTCTCCATGACACCAAACCCTCCATAGTTTCATAATAGGAAGGGAAAATGTACCTCCCAAAGAGGAAATGTACTACAATTAAAGGGAACTTGTTCCAAGGTACAAGGCTTCCTTGAGTATTTGTAATAACGACTGTTACCTCCAGCAAGAACCGTGGGCTTTCAGGCATGAACGTGAGGGCCACCACTGAGAAGACGCAGGGGAGAGCGCAGACGATGACGAACACACGCCAGCTGTGGAACTGGTAGGCCGACCCCATGCTGAAGCTCCATCCTGGAAAAGGAAGAGGGGAGGAGTGAAGGAGGGCACCCCCCAGACCGCCCGCGGGCAGAGCCAGGCCTCCGCGCACACTGTGTCCGCACCTCCATTTACTAGTCCCATCTTACCACCCCCAGGAGAATGAGCTGATCTGGGCTTTAGCCACAGTGACCAGCTCAACGTGGAGACCGCCAACAGCAGTGCTGAGGAGAATGGTGCTTGGAATCAAAGAGGTCTGGGCCCAGGGATGGGGGTGCATGCGTATTTCGGTACCACCAAACTCCAAAGGCCAAGGTGATTGAACTGGGGACAGTACTTTTTCCAACAGGCCCCTGTGCTGGATGTCTTCTGTTTGCTTCTCCAGCCCATGTTCCACTCTCGTCCATCCCCATGTGCCAGGAGATGGCCCCTGATCGGCTATACCAACTGGCTCTCTTGCCTTCTGGCTTCCAGTTGGGTTTGAATAAAGGAGCCCTGTCCTGGCAGGAGAACAGAGGGCGGGAGCCGGGTTCGGGATATTTATTCCCCTTGCTTCCCTCCCTGCTGTGCCCAGCTGCACGGAGGTGTGACAGTGGGTATGCTCCTCTGGCACCTTCTCCCGAAACCACAGCTCTTGTCAGTTTCTGGAACTCCCTCTCTGCTCTCACCCTCTGAGGCATAAATACTGCAAGGAACTTTTTTTTGGGATAGAAAAATTCTTTAATCAAAACAAGTTTACATGTTGACACTTACGGCTTAACAAGAATAAATCTGTCCAAATTTAAACTGTATTAAGGACCAAACAGATACCATGTAACAGCAAGCATTCCCTCAGAACAGTGGGTCCTGGTTCCACTGTAAGATCTCTGAAAAGCAGAACTCCAGCTACTGAAATAATTCAAACTTTTCAGCTATAGGTAAAAACAATTACCCATGAGATCAAAGCTTACAATGCTTGTCATGTGCAAACACTGGTATTAAGCCTTTTTCCCATGTTCATAGTTTCCAGACATGAAAAGTGTCTTTGAGCTACTGCAAACTACCTACTGATCTAATATTCAAAATATCTTAGAAATGCTATCTGTAAATTACCCTTAAATTCTGTGTTAACTTTGGTTCACTCTGATTCAATATCTGGTAATAACGTATAATGAAAAAGAATATGGAAAGGAATATATACATGTATAACTGAACCACTATGCTGTACACCATAAACTAACATGACATTATAAATCAATTATACTTCAATTAAAAAACAGGGGGGTACAGGATGCCCTTCTGCTACTAGCCCCGGGGTGCTTTATTATTCTGAACTCTTTTCCATGAACCCTCTCTGAGGGTGTCATTGGTTTCCTGCCGGCACACTGACCAGCACAATTATTAAGAACTGGCATGTGCCAACCTTTCCATGCACACGTGTCATACACTGGATCAAGAGAATTTTAAATTTCTAAATAGTACTTGACTATAAAATAATAAAAACAAGCCTAATAGGATACCAACAGAAATCTCTTTAAGAACTAAAAGGAAATCAATATTTGAATGGATTTAAAATTGTGGAAAGCAAGAGCCAACCACGATTCTAAATGAGAAATAATGAAGCATATCAAATCTAATTGAAAACAGAGAGATTTATAGAGGCAAAGATGAATTATGTGAGGCAAAATTCTTTTTTTTTTTTTTTTTTTTGCAATGCTTGGTATTTAGAAGGCTGCTGTGAGCAGAAATCAGATAGTCTGTGTTTCATCCCTGGGAGAGTGGTGTAGTTCTTCTCTGTTCACTCCGGAGTCAAGTGAGATTCTGGAGGTCACATGAGTTCCTCAAGGCTGCCCAGCTGAAGTTATATACAAGGCTCTTCCTCACCAGGATTTGAGGCAGAAGCTTCCACCACACATGTCCTCATGTCTATGCTTACGTTTAAACACAGAATTTGTTGATGAATGAGGTAAACACCAATGACATGCTACATCAGTCTTAGATTAATAAACATTTTCTGGGAATTTAATACATAAGGATTATGTGGATTACTAAATTAACTACATCATAAATCTAGGAGGGGATGTCTACTCTCAATGTTTTATGTAGCAGAAGTTCAAACATCTCAAATATCTAAAACACAGAAGAAATTCTGATGGAACAGGAAAATAACATACCTTGTTCACTTCATATTTGATCTGAGAGCTTCATAGAAAGGACTTCTTTTCTAAACGCTCTAGATCCTATTCTTTTATACACTGCACGCAAATGAAAAAGCTTTGGATGGCTGAGTTCAGCAAAGGTAATGTTTTAAATTCCAGGCTACAGCACGGTCCATGAGGAAAGAGTGAAGACGAAAGAGAGAAAGCTCTCTGGTGTCTCTGCAATTAAAATAATTGCAGCCAGAAGATGCAGTTTTATTTAAAAAATAGGATAAGTTATTTACTCAAGGAGAAAGTCACACTAGTGGGTGGAGCAGGAACCTTCTTGTGGTAGACAGGATAATGCCCCCATTGCCCTCCCCAAAGATGTCCTCTCCTAACCCTGGAACCTGTGATTATGTTACCTTACACGGCAAACAGATTTTGCAGGTATGATTTACTTAAGGATCCTGAGACAAAGTTATTATCCCATATTATATGGCTGGGCCCAACCTAAGTACACAGGTCTTTATAAGGGCAAGAGAGAGGCAGGAGAGTCAGAGTGAGAGGAGGAGATGTGATGAGGGAAGCAGAGGTCAGACTGGAGAGGGTTTCGACGATGTTACAGCACTGGCTTTGAGGATAGAGGAAGGGGCCACAAGCCAAGGAATGTCGGTGGTTTGTAGAAGCTGGGAAAGGCAAGGACATGTAACTGCCCTCAAGCTTCCAAAGGGAGCCTCCAGAAGCCCTGCCAACACATTCAGACTTCTGACCTCCAGAATCATAAGATAATAAACTTGGGTTGCTTAAAACCAGTAAGTTTGTGGTGATTTGTCATAGCAGCGATAGGAAAGCAACACACTTCTCTCTGTAGTTAGAGCGCTGCCATTAACTGGATCAACATACATTACATTGGAGAATCTTGGCTCTTCTCTATGAAAGCTCAGGCTCCCTGCTTTTGCTTGGACTTCTCCAGGTGCCTCTCCAAGGACTTCAGGCTTCCTGACAGCAGTAGAAACATTACCCTTCATCCTAACTGCTCCTGAGTATCACATCAGTCGGAGAGACACCAGCAGCAACGTCATCCCATTTACCAGTTTTCAGCCTATAGAGGAAACGACCATGACCAGCTACACTCACAAGAGAAGAAGCTGGTCCAGAGTCCAGCTCTCAGCCTAGAATGTAGTTTCATCAGATGTAGATTCTTCTGTCCACAGCAGCTGAAGTTCAGCCTGCTTGTTGCTGTTCAAGTCCTTCTCTACTTTATTAGCCATGAAGTCTGCCTTCTGGTCCCTTGCTCTGTGTGTGTGTGTGTGTGTGTGTGTGTGTGTGTGTGTGTGTGTGTGTGTGTGTGTGTTCACACCTCTAGAGCCAACAGAAACTGGTCCCCACCTAGGTTTCTGAGCTTGTCTTCTGCAGGTCCCCTCGCTCACTTGGTCCATCACACCAACCTGCTGCCACTTCTCTGAACAGACGAAGCTTAATTTCATCTTAAGGGCCCTGCCTTATTTCTTAGGAAGCCTAGTCATGCACTGAAAGGATGGTGGTGGACTTGAGCCAACATTTCTATGGTTTCTGAAGTGAGAGGGCTTTTTTAGTACCTCTTGTTCTCCATGGAGTCCCGTTGGAGTCTTGTGTTTGATGTTTTCCCTGCCCGGCCTGCTCTGTGTGAGCATCTGCACACATGAACGCTTCCTTCACACCTTCCATGTCTCAGTTTAAGGCAATCACCTCATAGAGGGCTGAATACCCAATCACACTCGTATCACCAAGGCCCGTTTTATTGTCACCATAGCACTCATCGCTAACTAAAGCTATGTGTTCATTAATTTTTTTCAAATTTACGATCTGTCCCTCTCCCCACCACGAGAGCAGGAACACTGTTTTTGTTACTTACCAGTACACTCCCGGTGCCTATAGCAAGTCCTGGTCCACGGCAAGTGCTCTTTAAATGTTTGTTAAATGAATGTGTACACACACACACACACACACACGCATACTCCTTTGTGTGTTTACATGTTCATGAACATGTGCAGAATCACTGCAGGCTACTAAGACATTAGTTACTCAGGTTTTCTTTTGACTTTTTTCCCCCTGAATTCACACTAAACAGCAAAACAACTTTGATCTACTTTTTCAAATAAAACTTGTATACAATAAAATTTATTACTTTTTAACTTGCATTGTTCTATGAGATTGATAAATGCATATAGTCACGTAACCACCATCGTAATCAGGATACAGATTGTTCCATCTCCCCAAAACATCCCTTTCTTCTGCCCCTTTGGAGTTAACTCTTCCTCCATTCCTAACCCCTGGCAACCACTGGTATGTTCTCTGTCCCGCAGTTTTGCCTTTTCCCCAACATCATATAAATGGACTCGTACTGTACCCAGTTTTAAATTCCGGCTTTCCACACTTAGTATAAAACACTCACGCAGACTGTTACACATATCAACAGTGGGTTCCTTTTCATTGCTGAGTAGTATTCCATCATGTGGATAGATATGTTTGTTACCACTCACCAGCTGAAGGACAGTTGGAATTTTTCCACTTTTAGGGGATTATAAATAAAGCTGTTATCAATATTTCAGACAGGTATTTTTGTGTCCCAAAGTTGTCCTTTTCTCTCTTGGGCAAATACCTAGGAGTGGGTAAATTGAGTCATATAATAAGTATATGTTTAGCTTTATAAGAAATTGCCAAACTATTTTCCACAGTGGCTGTACCATTTTGCTTTTCTGTCAGTAGTGTATGAGCGTTCCAGCTACTTCACCCCTTCCCATCATTTTTTGGTCAATTTTTTTTTTTTGGTTAAATTTTGACCATCATGGTTTTAATTCGCACTTCCCTCATGCCTAGTGATATCTTGATTTACTTTCTGTTCATTCATTCATACTTTTCATTGCCAGTCACAAT